GCAGCCGCAGCACAGCTGGGAATGGCTCCAGAGGGGAGGGTGGAGAGTGCGCTGGCCCCTGGGGGGACTCAGAGAGGAGTTGTGTGTGTTTGGCGCTGGTGGATGTGGTGTGTGGCGGTGTGAGCCAACAGGCCAATGGGCGGCAAGCATAGGAGGCTTTATGGAGTGCCCTGAAGAACCACTGTGTGGAGGGGAAATGGCCCCTGTGAGGAAAGTCCCAGCAGCCAGTGGAGCGCAACCAGATGTGGGCCCAGACTGGTGGGGTCTCCCTGGGAGTCCAGGTGGGAGGCAGAGGAGGAAAAGGGAGACAGTTGAGAAGTTTGTCACCAGGCCCTCACTAATACTCAGGGAGCAGCCCGTGTGCAAAGGAGGTGAAGGATGGTGGTTTGGTTTTGTTTTTTGTTTTGTTTGAGATGGAGTCTTGCTCCATTGTCCAGGCTGGAGTGCGGTGGTGCGATCTTGGCTCACTGCAACCTCCGCCTCCTGGGTTCAAGCAATTCTCCTACCTCAGCCTCCCACGTAGGTGGGATTACAGGCACGAACCACCACGCCCAGCTAATTTTTGTATTTTTAGTAGAGATGGGGTTTCACCATGTTGGCCAGGCTGGTCTCAAACTCCTGACCTCAGGTGATCCACCCGCCTAGGCCTCCCAAAGTGCTGGGACTACAGGCGTGCGCTACTGTGCCCAGTCGAGGATGGGTTTATATTGGGAAAAACGAAGCCCATCAAACTCGGTGAAAATGACGACAGGATGCAACCTTCTGGCCTGGGACCCACCCCAACAAGTGGAAAACAGCAACGGCTCCTGGACAGCTCCCAGCAGGGCTCACTGCTCGGGCCCAGCCTAGCGCTGAGTGGGGCTGTTCCTGGCCCGACAGCCTCCCGAGGCCGGCTGCCAACGCCGCACCCTTCCCATCCGTGTCCTGGAAGTGCTCAGAGGAAACATCTGCCCAGAACATGACATCGCTAATGAGACAGTCACTATATGACATAAATCCACTTAGCACAGCCTCACCCTCACCTAGCAACTGGGTCACCAGCAAACTAACCACTTGGTGTGACTCCTCCATTAGGACTACGTGGCCCGGGAGCCTCAGAGGCCAACGTTCCCAACCAGGGACTCCACCCTTCTCCCAGAGAGAGGCAAAAACAAAACAATGGAACTGAGAACCCGGCGGAAGAGCTGGGAACGGTTAACAGGGTGTCTTTCACCTCTGTGTGTAGGAGCCGAGGTGGAGCCGCCAGCTGTGCAGACGACGCCCCCTCCTGGGGGGTAAGAGCAGAGGACGCCCCCTCCTGGGGGGTAAGGGCAGAGGACACCCCCTCCTGGGGGGTAAGGGCAGAGGACGCCCCCTCCTGGGGGGTAAGGGCAGAGGACGCCCCCTCCTGGGGGGTAAGGGCAGAGGACACCCCCTCCTGGGGGGTAAGGGCAGAGGACGCCCCCTCCTGGGGGGTAAGGGCAGAGGACGCCCCCTCCTGGGGGGTAAGGGCAGAGGACGCCCCCTCCTGGGGGGTAAGAGGCCTCACATGAGGCAGGCGGGCAGGGTCCCTGTGGGGTGGCATTGGCTGTTTCTGAGGCAAACAGAGCTCCCCCCAGCCTTTTTTTTTTTTTTTTGACGGACTTTTGCTCTTATTGCCCAGGCTTGGCGCAATCTCGGCTCACCGCAACCTCTGCCTCCTGGGTTCAAGAGATTCTCCTGCCTCAGCCTCCAGGCTAATTTTTGTATTTTTAGTAGAGAAGAGGTTTCACCATGTTGGCCAGGCTGGTCTCGAACTCCTGACCTCAGGTGATCCACCCTTCTCGGCCTCCCAATGTGCTGGGATTACAGGCGTGAACCACTGCGCCCGGCCACTGAACTCCCCATTTTATACAGTGGGAAACAAAGGCGCAATGACCCCGGGGACAGGCTTGGGAAACAGCTGATAAACAGCAGAGCCAGGCCACAAGGCCAAGTCTGACTCGGGGGCTCCATCCCACACCCGCTATCAACAGCAAACACATTAAAACTAAATGCCACGGCTGGGCGCAGTGGCTCACACCTGTAATCCCAGCACTCTGGGAGGCTGAGGCAGGCGGATCCCCTAAGGTTAGGAGTTCGAGACCAGCCTGGCCAACATGGTGAAGCCCTGTCTCCACTAAAAATACAAAAATTAGCCAGTAATGGTGGTGTACATCTGTAATCCCAGCTACTTGGAAGGCTGAGGCACAAGAATCGCTTGAACCCGAGAGGCAAAGGTTGCAGTGAGCTGAGGTCACGCCACTGCACTCCAGCCTGCTGGGCGACAGAGCGAGACTCTGTCTCAAAAAACAAAACAGGCCGGGCGCGGTGGCTCACGCCTGTAATCCCAGCACTTTGGGAGGCCGAGACGGGCGGATCACGAGGTCAGGAGATCGAGACCATCCTGGCTAACACGGTGAAATCCCGTCTCCACTAAAAAATACAAAAAAAAAAAACTAGCCGGGCGCGGTGGCGGGCGCCTGTAGTCCCAGCTACTCGGGAGGCTGAGGCAGGAGAATGGCGGGAACCCGGGAGGCGGAGCTTCCAGTGAACTGAGATCCGGCCACTGCACTCCAGCCTGGGCGACAGAGCGAGACTCCGTCTCAAAAAAAAAAAAAAAAAAACAACAACAAAACAAAACAAAGCAAAACAAAACTTAAACACCAGGGAACACACACAACGCACATACCAGTAAGATCGTGAAGAAGGAGCGGCTGAAAAGTCCACCAATTGCAGTTTATTTGGAGTCTAGCCAAGTACCATTTGTATTGTTTCTCTCACTTTCTATTCTACCATATGTGTTGAAAAGATCTATTTTTCCCTAATTGGCAGTGAAACGTCATCAAATATATGTAAAATATACACACACAATATGGCATGTACACTTAACATACGTCCATGCATGGGTACTGAGAGCGCTTGGGCAAGGGTTAGGGAAGACCCTTATCTGAAGGACATACCCTTGGTGCCATTTGGGAGAACAAACTCCTGTTACTAGCATCGCAACAAAAACAGGTGGCAAGTTTTAAAGAGAAACTCAAGACAGCGAGTGAAGCTTCAGCAAATACGACCGTGAGTAAAAGGCCCTTCCTGGCCGGGCGTGGTGGCTCACGCCTGTAATTTCAGCACTTTGGGAGGCCAAGGCAGGAGGATCACCTGAGGTCAGGAGTTTGGGACCAGCCTGGCCAACATGGTAAAATCCCGTCTCCACTAAAAATACAAAAATTAGTTGGGTGTGGTGGCGCCTGTAATCCCAGCTACTTGGGAGGCTGAGGCAGAAGAATCGCGTGAACCCAGGAGGTGGAGGTTGCAGTGAGCCTAGATCTTGCCATTGCACTCCAGCCTGGGTGTCAAGAGTGAAACTCCACCTCAAAAAAAAAAAAAAAGAAAGAAACAGCACTGTAACTCGTGAGTTATTACTCAGATGCATCTGTCCGTCTACCCGCCGACTCAGGTCCTCTCCATACACTCCTGTAAGTCACTGGGCTACCAGAAAACTGCATGGGAACGCCATGCTCGTGCAGCCTGTCAAGCAGCCATCACTCCTCTTACAGCTCCTGGCTGCCCACGTGCTTGCCTGCAGCAAACCCAGCCGCTGATGTCATAAAAGGGACAGCCGGACCTGGCTGCACTCATCTGCTTCAATTTACTACAGACTCATCCACGAACCTTAAGTGGCAGAAACAGGTCTTTCTAAAGCCAGGCGTGGTGGCTCACGCCTGTAATCCCAACACTTTGGGAGGCTTAGGCAGGAGGATCGCTTGAGCCCAGGAGTTCGAAACCAGCCTGGCCAACATGGTGAAACTCTGTCTCTGCAAAAAAATGTTACAAATTAGCTGGGGGTGGTGGTGTGTGCCTGTGGTCCCAGCTACTCGGGAGGCTGAGGTGGGCGGATCACTTGAGCCCAGGAAGTTGAGGCTGCAGTGAGCCATGATTGCACCACGGCACTCCAGCCTGGGTGACAGGGCGAGATCCTGCCTGAAAAGAAAAAAGAAAAGAACACAGGTCTTCCTGGGATCAGCTAGACAAAGGCCTTTGTAAAGATAAATCACTGAGGAATATTTCTAGTTGCCTGTTTTCTTCAAAATCACAGTCAAGTAAGCCAGGTGCGGTGGCTCACATCTGTAATTCCAGCACTTTGGGAGGCTGAGGTGTGCAGATCACCTGAGGTCAGGAGTTTGAGACCAGCCTGCCCAACATGGTGAAAGTCCGTCTCTACTAAAAATACAAAAATTAGCCAGGCGTGGTGGCGAGTGCCCGTAATCCCAGCTACGTGGGAGCCTGAGGTGGGAGAATTAGTACCCAGGAGGCAGAGGCTGCAGTGAGCCGAGATTGTGCCAGTGCACTCCAGCCTGGGCGACAGAGCAAAACTGTCTCAGGAAAAAAAAAATCGCAGTCAAGGAAAAAGAAATGGAACTAAAAGAGCCGTCAGTTAAATACATTCCTCTCTCATGGCACGACTAGTCTATAAGATTTGTTTTGTTTTTAATTTAGTGTAAAGTTTTTTTAATGTTAAAACCCTGTGACACATCAAATTACATGCTGAAGCTGTTACTTTCTGCCAAAAAAGTGAGTTTTTAATACGAAAATTCTGCTTAGGTTAAAAATTAAAGGCCGTGCGCGGTGGCTCAAGCCTGTAATCCCAGCACTTTGGGAGGCCGAGACGGGTGGATCACGAGGTCAGGAGATCGAGACCATCCTGGCTAACACGGTGAAACCCCGTCTCTACTAAAAAAAATACAAAAAACTAGCCGGGCGAGGTGGCGGGCGCCTGTAGTCCTAGCTACTCGGGAGGCTGAGGCAGGAGAATGGCATAAACCCGGGAGGCGGAGCTTGCAGTGAGCAGAGATCCGGCCACTGCACTCCAGCCTGGGCGACAGAGTGAGACTCCATCTCCAAAAAAAAATTAAAAAAAATAAAAAAAAATAAAAAAACAAAAAATGTGAGTTTTATACAGCCACATGAATTAGTACCTTTTGCAATAGTCAAACAGACTACAGAACCTTCCAAAGAAGTGCCTTCATTTATTTACAGGGCTTAGGAAAGGAAAAAAGCTCTAGAAAAGGGAAATTTCAAAATAGGGCTTCAGCAGGGGCCCGGGTAGAGTGAGTAGTTTTGATAAGGTCCGGGTGGGAGTCACTTCCAGGTGGTAAGGGCGGCTCTCCCCGAGTCTCTGGATCGGCCTGCTCTGGGCCCCAGAGACTGGCCCTGACGACTTCTCAGCTCCCGGTCGGCCCCATCACCCTGGGCCAGTTCTTCATCGTACCTGGAGACAGAAAGAGCCAGGATCATGGCAGGCTCTCTTTCAAAGGCAACAGACCAGGCTGCTGTGTGCCAAATGCAACAACACCCAGAGAAGCGACCTGAGGGGGCCCCCTGGCTCCTGCCAGCTCCCGCCCACCTCCCACCTGGCTCCAGCCCACCTGGTGGCTTTTGCAGCCCAGCAAACGCTCCCCAAGGCCACCGTGCCTATGTGTATAACCTTGTTAAGTTGTTATTATGGACAGTGCTCTCTCCACGGAAGCTAACATTTTATACAGGTCACCAGGTCAAATTTGGCAAGGACTCCAAAGACAACATGAATGAGGTGACACGGAACCAGCCCAGGGTACAGAGGTGAGACTGCCTGGCTGGAAATGCTTCACACAAGGCACCTGCAGGCTGGGGAGACTAACTCCATTTCAGATGGGAGCAGCACATGAGCACCGGCCAGGGGAGGCCAGGGCAGAGAGGCCCACAGTGCACACTCAGCTAGAGACTCTGCCAGTGTGACCCACGCCACCCCTCCCCATTTTCTTTTTTTTTTTTTTTTTTTTGGAGATGGAGTGTTCGCGGCTAATCCGGCCCAGGGCCTTGTAATACAGTGGACCATCTCGGGCTCAGCAACCAACGTCTGCCCCCTGGGTTCAAACGATTCTTCCCCTGCTCAGCCTCCCCCGAGTAGCCTGGGATTAACAAGGCATGTGGGGCCCACCACATCCCAGCTAATTTTGTAATATTGTAGTACGAGACGGGGTTTCCCAAAAATTGTTGGGCGCAGCCTGGTCCTCCGAAACTCCTGAACGCTCAGGTGCCGATCGCGCCCCGCCCCAACAGCCTCCCAGAGGGGCTGGGATGACCGGTGTGAGGGCCACTGTGGCCTGGCGCCTCATTTTCTTTAACCTGCCTGTTCCCAATTAAAGTTCCATGCATCCCTCCCCAGGCTGCATGGCGCTAGAAGGCAGCAGTGGCCAGGAAAACAGCCTGAACTGTGTGTATAGGAAGAGGTGACAGGCAGCTGCATCTCCCCAGACGGGGGCGGTCCGCAGCAATGGGCAACGTCCCCTGGGTCTTTCCCCACAGTGGCGCCCTTCTCCTCACGGGGTCGCTGGAGCCCATGGTCATTGCTGGCCGGCACCCCCTATTGCAGGCTGCGCAGGGAACAGCGCCCCGGGGAAATAGGGCCGCCCCTCCCAGGCGGCGAGCGTCACCCATTACCCTCCCAACTCGGGGCGGCGCAGCACCCAGGCACTTGCTTCCTATGGGGCGGAACTGGGGTTCTAGAGGTTTGGCTCCGCCCTAAGGGTCCGCCGAACCAGCCGGTCTGGTGGCTAGAAGCGGTAGGGATTAACCTCCAGGACTTCTTTTATACATATATCATACACGGTAATATGCTACTTCTTTTTTTTTTTTGCGAGAGCAGAGTTTGCTCTTGTTGCCCAGTGGCTGGAAAAGGGCACAATGGCGCAATCTCGCCTCAGCGGCAAGCCTCCCGCCTCCTGGGATTCCAAGGCGATTCTTCCTGCCTCAGCCCTCCTGAGTAGCCCTGGGATTACAAGCTGTCACCACCCGCCCGGCTATTGTAATGTTTTAGTGAGAATGGGCGGTTCTCCCATGTTTGGTCAGGCTGGTCTCGAACTCCCAACCTCAGGTGATCCGCCCACCTCGGCCTCCCAAAGACCTCTAGGGCTTCTGATTCCTAATTTGGAGCTTTTTGTCCCACAGAGCTGAGGAGTGTGGAAAGCATCTCTGCCCCGGTAAAAGCACTTCTATCAGTGTGCTGTGCCGGCCATCCTGACCAGGACCTTCGGTTGTATGTAGGTATTTATGTCAAAAACAAAAGGTACCCAGATCCTGAGTGCTAATCTTGTGGACTTCTGGAAAAAGGTAGATTTCTATGATAAGCTTATTACCAAAACCAGAGTCTGCAGGTTGAATGTAGTATTGGTTAGAAACTTCTGAGGTTGAGGCCGGGCACTGTGGCTCACGCCTGTAATCCCAGCACTTTGGGAGGCTGAGGCGGGTGGATCACGAGGTCAGGAGATCGAGACCATCCTGGCCAACATGGTGAAACCCCGTCTCTACTAAAAATACAAAAATTAGCTGGGCGTGGTGGCGCATGCCCATAATCCCAGCTACTTGGCAGGCTGAGGCAAGAGAATCCCTTGAACCAGGGAGGCGGAGGTTACAGTAAGCCGAGGTCACGCCACTGCACCCCAGCCTGGCAACAGAGCGAGACTCCATCTCAAAAAAAAAAGAAAAAAAAAGAGAAACTTCTGAGGTTAAAGAATGCATTTTCTACATTGTGCTTATGGTGGCAAACTGGGACTGAAAGAGCAGGAGGGAAGAAAGCATTTTCTGACTACTTTTTTTTAAATGGTCATGCAGACTGGAGTGTAGTGGTGCAATCTCGGCTCACTGCAACCTCTGCTTCCTGGGTTCAAGAGATTCTCATGCCTCGGCCTCCCAAGTAGCTGGGATTACAGGCACATGCCACCATGCCCGGCTAATTTTTTGTATTTTTGGTAGAGATGGGGTTTCATCATGTTGCCAGGCTGGTCTCGAACCCCTGAGCTCAAGCAATCTGCCTGCCTCAGTCTCCCAAAGCGCTGGGATTACAGGCATGACCCAGCGCGCCTGGCCGCATTTTCTGACTTCTGTCTGTGCAGCAGACACCACAAGCATCCAGGCTCTGCACCAGGGTGGGGCTGTCAGGACAGTGACACGGGTTTGCTTCCTCCCTGGCTCTCGAAGGAGAGACAGCCACAGTCCCTATGACACAAGGAAGCCAGACAGGACACCCCCGGAACTCTGGAATCTGCCTGGGTGGGGGGTCCCCCAGGATGCCTCCCTGGTCTGTCTCCACAGGATCAGATACCCCGACCCACTGGGGACTCCACATTCATAAATGTCGTCACTCCACTGCCCCTCCGTGTTTGCCTCAGTGGCCAGGGGGCTGCAGTGACCGCCCGTCTGGTTCGTGGCTGCCCCCGGCAGCTTGCTCAGGGTCTGGTGGATAGGAATGTACTGAATGAATGGAGAAAAAGACCACATATGGTGACCAGTTTCACGGAGCACTTGTGCTGATCTGTGCAGCTCAAAAAACAAAACAAACAGAAAGGAGCATTTGGCAAGCAGCTGGCACCGGGATGTGCTGTTCCCAGGGGTGGTCTGGCCACCTACTGAGCCAACGCAGAGGAGAATCAGAGCCAAGATGGTTCTTCGAAGCTCCTGTTCTAGCAGGCTTTTCTTCCGGGTTTTCACAGAAAGAATCTAGTCACTATTAGGGATTTTTAAAGGCTGTAAAAGTACAGCCAGCAACTTCAGAACAGGGTCCACCTCCAGGTGGCAGATGCAAAGTGCCAGGCCTTGTGGGGCCACAGCCAATGGCGTGGCCTGGGGCACGTCAGCTGCCTCCTGTCCACCTTGGCCTCCCAAAGTGCTGGGAGTGACCTCATGCAGCCAGTGTCCTCCACTAGATGCTGCTGGGCTCTGAGGGGTTGCTGTGGGCACACAGAGTACCTGGCATGGACGGGCGGCACCACTCAGATGACGTGGCCCTCGCAGTCAGCACCAACTGCTACTGCTGCAGGTGGCTGCACCTGAAAATGGAGCTGAGGTTCTTTGATCATCTGAATGCCTAGGGGAAGTGAGCCCTGACTGGGACTGGAAGCGTTTAGAAGCCATCAGCTCTACACAAAAGCCTTCCATTACCCCTCAGGAGCCGGGGGAGGACGGCTGGATCAGGGAGGGGGGTCACCTTATTGTCTCTTCAACTAAAAGCAGTGAGGCACTGGCCTCTGCTTCTTCTTTTCTGGTTTTTTTTTTTCTTTCTTTCTTCCTTTCTTTTTTTTTTTTTACGCAGAGTTTTGCTCTGTTGCCCAGGCTGGAGTGCAGTGGCACGATCTTGGCTCACTGCAACCTCCACCTCCCAGTTCAAGCCATTCTCCTGCCCTCAGCCTCCCAAGTAGCTGGGATTACAGGTGCCCGCCACCACAGCTGGCTAATTTTTGTATTTTCAGTAGAGACAGGGTTTCACCATGTTGGCTAGGCTGGTCTTGAACTCATGACCTCAGGTGATCCACCTGCCTTAGCCTCCCAAAGTGCTGGGATTACAGGTGTGAGCCACCATGCCTGGCCTGGTCTCTGCTTCTTAGCCTGGAGATGGTAAGTCTGGTCCTCTCCCTCAAGAAGGCCACGGGCTGGACAGGTCTCAAGCTCCACACACTCCCAACAAGCCAGCCTCCCCACCACCCTCACTCAGTTGGACTGAAGAGAACCCCCCAAGGTCCTCATGCTACTGACAAGTCTCCCCGCAATGGTCCCCACCCCTGTGCACCCTCATAGACCCCCTTGGTCCTCCAGCACAGGGACCATCAGGACCCAGCCCCCAAGGCCACCATTGCAGTTGCCGTCCCCAACCCTGATGTTACCCTTCACCTCCCAGGCTGCCAATCCCAGTCTGACCCCATCCCCAGAATCGCCCTCTGTGGGCTCCAGAACTCTCTGCCCATCGTCGCACCTGCCATTGCCCTCCGCTTGTCCTTCAATCTCCGCTTCCCTTTCCTGTTCTAACGGGCTCCTGAGTCTCCTGGGAGACACTGCTTCCCCCGCAGCTCCTGGTATGGAGGCTGCTTTCTCTTCCACCCACCATCCTCCCGGTTGGAGCGGCCTCCTCTCTAAAACCCCCAGCTTTTTCCAGGCCTGGTCACCACAGTTACCTCCCTCCTCGCACAGTCACCTCCAGTCCTCCAGGTCACCACCCCAGATCCCTTGGAGAGCCAGGCTCCTAGTTCATGGTGGCAGGTGATGGCAATGACCAAACAGATGAAAGCCCCAACTCCCTGACCTCTGGTGCCCCCATCCTCTACTCCATCTCAGTCCCATCCCCAGGGAGTCCCCAAACCTCATCACCCCTCATATTATCTCCAAGACTCACTCCCTGACCACTGCCCCTTCTCCTCCCAGCCCACTTCCCTAGTGCCCGACTCCAACAACCCTCCTCCCTGCAGGACTGCCACCCACCCCCGCCTTCTCCCTGTCCCCGCTGCCTTGCCATCACAAGTTCCCAACCCTGGTCCCTCCCAACCCTCTGCCTTCCCTGTACCTAGCCTGGGCAGCTGACCATGGAGCGAGAGAACAGCTAACCACACACATTGACTGCTTGCCCCTGAAGTTCACAGCCACCACCCTGTAGAGGCCTCGAGGTTGCCGGCAAGCCCAGCGTACTTCCATCTAAACTCCCCTTCCACCTGCTCCTCCTGTCCCAGACAATGAGCTGGGACATGCACATCCACACCACACATCACCCACAGCAGAGGCAGGAGCCAGCTGAGCGTGGGCTCCAGAGTCCTGGGCCCGTGTTCAAATCCTCCCACCAGCAGCGCCTACCAGCTGCAAGCCTGAAGTCTCTTATGTGTGTGTGTAAATTTCACTAAATTTTTCTTCTTTTGTTTTTTAAAAATTTAAATGAAATGCACATTTTTGCTTTGACAGAAGCATGTAACTGTGATCCTAACACACCTACTCCTCTGCCTTTTACTGCCGTCTGTTTCCCTCTTTTCTGGCTCCCTCCACACCCACTCGACCGCAGTATCGATGCCAAACAACACGATGTGTGTCCTTCCACGTTTCCCTGCTCATGCATTCGCATGTAAGCCACTGCACACATCACTGTATGTACACACAGGGGACTCTGAGGCCAATGTTTTACAAGGAATAAACTATACACCCTTTTCTGCAATGTGTTTTTCCCAGGCAACCTCCCAAGCCCCACAGTGTAGCTCTGGGTCAATCTTTTTTTGTTTTTTGTTTTTGTTTTTGAGACAGTCTCACTCTGTTGCTCAGGCTGGAGTGCAGGGGTGCAATTTGGGTTCACTGCAACCTCCGCCTCCCGGGTTCAAGTGATTCTGCTGCCTCAGCCTCCTGAGTAGCTCAGATTACAGGTGCGCACCACCATGCCTAGCTAATTTTTGTATTTTTAGTAGAGACAGGGTTTCACCATGTTGATCAGGCTGGTCTTGAACTCCTGATCTCATGATCTGCCCGCCTCAGCCTCCCAAAGTGCTGGGTGTGAGCCACCGCAGCCAGCCAGTTCAATCTTTTTAAAGCCCACCTCACAGACCACAGAATGAATGAACCATACTGTGTTCAGCCACCACACTCCTGATGGGCTCTCACTTTGTTCCCACTTTCGTCACTACAAGTATGCCGTGGAACCGCTCTAAGCCTTTGTTTCCACACCCGTGAAATGGAGCTAATAGTCTTACCTACTTCAAAATATTACTGGGGAAAGGAATTGATACTGTGTGTAAAGCATTCTGCACAGTTTCTGACACATGACCAGCCCTCGAAAGTTAGCTATTTCCTTCCCACTCTGTAAGATAGATCTTATTATATCCCTATTTTTTTTGTAGAGATAGGGTTTCGCCATGTTGGCCAGCCTGGTCTTGAACTCCCGACCTCAGGTGATTTGCCTGCCTCAGCCTCCCAAAATGCTGGGATTACAGGCGTGAGCCACTGCACCCGGCTTATTATACCCATTTAAAGGTGGACAAACTGAGGCTCAAACAGTTGCACTGAGTTCCTCCCTGTCACCCAGCTCTATGTGGCAAAGCCAGGGAATGACCCCCAGTGACCTGTGAGAAACAGGCACTCCATCCAGCCAGCTCCAGCTATCCTGGCAACCAACGGGGGCCTGGCACGTGATCAGTGCACCACATGTATGTCATAAGCAGGAGAATCCACAATGATCAAGTTTAGCACCCAAACTGCTTTTCTGGGCTGTGTGCAGTGGCTCACGCTTGTAATCTCAGCACTTTGGGAGGCCGAGGTGGGAGGATCACTTGAGGTCAGGAGTTCAAGACCAGCCTGGCCAACATGGTGAACCCTGTCTCTACTAAAACTACAAAAATTAGCCAGGAGTGGTAACACATGCCTATAATCCCAGCTACTTGGGAGGCTGAGGCAGGAGAACTGCTTGAACCTAGGAGGCGGAGGTTGCAGTGAGCCAAGATCGTGCCACTGCAATCCAGCCTTGGCAACAGAGAGAGAATCCCTCTCAAAATAATAATAATAGTAAAATAAATAAACAGCTTTTCTGCTACAACACAATCTATCCCATAATGTCATTAGTAAATGAAACGTTCTGCCCAAATAAGGGGAATCCACACATGCCCAGAAATCCGAGCTGGGCTATGGCACATGCCATTAGGAAACACAGAAGAACAGGCGCACAGTCACACGCAGACTTACAGAATCTCGTAATTGCCGAGGACTTCCTTTGGGGGCGACTTGTTCCATTTGCAGTCTGGGATTTCACCGTTCGGGACGGCGATGTTGAGGGTGTCATTAATCAGGTTATACTTGAGGATGCGATCGTTGGCAGTGCTGGACGTGAGAGACGGGGATGCGTTCACCTGTGAGACGAAAGACCCACGTTCCTCAGCTGTGTCTCCTGCTCTTTTGGAATGAAAACGTGCACTGCAGAAGGAGATGCTGGCTGCTGCACACTTTAGTCAAGTTTTTTTTTTTTTCTTTTTTTTGAGACGGAGTTTCGCTCTTGTTGCCCAGGCTGGAGTGTAGTGGCACAATCTCAGTTCACTGCAACCTCTGCCTCCCGGGCTCAAGCGATTCTCCTGTCTCAGACTCCCGAGTAGCTGGGATTAGAGGCACACACCACCACGCCCAGCTATTTTTTGTATTTTATTAGAGATGGTGTTTCACCATGTTGATCAGGCTGGTCTCGAACTCCTGACCTCAGATGATCCTCCCACCTCAGCCTCCCAAAGTGCTACGATTTCAGGCGTGAGCCACTGTACCTGGCAAGTTATTTAACATTGCTACTATCTAATATCGTCAGAGCACCTTGCTAGGAAGCACTTTGTGATCCACTTTTATTAGCTGGTCAGTGAAATGTAAGTAATACTTAAAGGTGGGATTAGAATTAGGATCTACAAATCAGCAATCACACAAACATTTTGGGCCCGTGTACATCAGAAACATTATCAGTGCCTACCTGTGTGACTGTTTCTGTCCTAAGTACCAAGAGCCCCCCAGCGGTTTGTTAGAATCAGCGAACCAAATGACCCTGCCCAAGCGGCAGTGTGGGTTTAAGTAAAAAGCGATGGGCCCCCTTTTCGCGAAGAGAGTAATATCTCATCAGTAAAGCAGCATTCCGAGTCAAATGATGAATCCTTTCAACACATGGAAAGGTGGTCCCATAAGGCCTCTGAGAAGCTAAGTAATGTCACAAAATCCACACATTAAAATGGAGACATTCACTTTGTTCTGTGGAGAGTCCCATAGGCCCTCAGTCACTACTTTTTTTTTTTTTTTTGAGATGGAGTCTTGCTCTGTCACCCAGGCTGGAGTGCAGTGGCATGATCTCAGCTCACAGCGACCTCTACCTCCTGGGTTCAAGCAATTCTCCTGCCTCAGCCTCCTGAGTAGCTGGGATTACAGGCGTCCACCACCACGCCCGGCTAATATTTGTATTTTTAGTACAGACAGGGTTTCACCATGTTGGTCAGGCTGGTCTCGAACCCCTGACCTCAGGGGATCTGCCTGCCTTGGCCTCCCAAAGTGCTGGGGTTACAGGTGTGAGCCACTGTGCCCGGCCAGTCACTACTTATTTACTCATATTTTAGGCACAGTTCTAATGACCTCGGTTAGTTGTTTCAGGTCATGGGGGATTAGAGGGAGCAAATCTGTAAGCTGTTCAGGTTTCTCCCAGTCAGACTGCCTGTCTGTGCTGCTCAGCTAGGGTACGAATATGTACTGTGCCAAGAATTGCACAGATCTCATTGTCCTCAAATGACCACTGTAATATACCAGTAAATACTGTAATTCTTATTATGAACACATGAAGACTAAGAATTGTTATTAGGGGCCCAGGCATGGTGGCTCACGCCTGTAATCTAGTACTTTGGGAGACCCAGGCAGGTGGATCACGAGGTCAAGAGTTTGAGACCAGCCTGGCCAACATGGTGAAACCCGCATCTCAACTAAAAATTTAAAAAATTAGCCAAGCCGTGGTGGCAGGCCACCTGTAATCCCAGCTACTCGGGAGGCTGAGACGAGAATCGCTTAAACCCAGGAGGTGGAGGTTGCAGTGAGCCAAGATCGCACCACTGCACTCACCAGCCTGGGCGACAGAGTGAGACTCCGCTCTCAAAAAAAAAAAAAAACAAAAAAAAAAGAATTGTTTTAGGCTGTGTGCAGCGGCTCACAACTAACCTCAGCACTTGGGAGGCTGAGGTGGAAGGATCGCTTGAAGTTAGGAGTTCGAGACTAGCCTAGGCAACACAGCAAGACCCATCTCTACAAAAAAGAAAAAAAAAATTAGCTGGGAAGAGTGCGCACACCTCTAGTCCCAGCTACACAGGAGGCTGAGGTGAGATGATCACTTGAACCCAGGAGATCAGGCTGCGGGAGCAATGATGGTGGACATTGCACTCCAGCCTGGCACAGAGCGAGACTTGGTCTCTTAAAAACAAAAAACAAACCAAAAAAAACAATCCAGGCCAGCGTGGTGGCTCAAGCCTGTAATCCCAGCCTTTGGAGGCTGCAGTGGGCGGATCACTTGAAGTCGGATCGAGACCAGCCTGACAACATGGTAAAACCCCATCTCTACTAAAATACAAAAGTTAGCCAGCATGGTGGCAGTTACCTATAAAATCCCCAGTTACTTGGAGGCTGAGGCACGAGAATTGCTTGGAACCACAGGAGGTGGAGGTT